AAGTTCTTTACGTTCATTCATGCTATTAGAAGCATAGACAACAGAAAGCTGAAAAAGGGGTTGATTAGACACTAAAATCAAACCAGAGATCAGTTGAGAAGTAATAACAGAAGGAATGAAAGACAGTTTAGAAGAGTTCCATTTCACCCAAATTCTCCCAGATTCTGAGAGATCGAAATTGCTGCAGCTAGCCTCATTAAAAAAAAGTGAATGAGAGTTTTCAAAAAACGAGTCAGCAAGAGAGCTCAGAAGGATCCTGTTCTCCAAGAAACAGACTAAATCAAGCTTGAAAGACTCAATGAGACGCTTAAAGCATAGTACTTTATCAGGGCGATTGAATCCCCTAATATTCCACCCAACCAAAGGTGGAAAAGACATCAAGACTTCTGTTTAGTTTGGGGTTTTTTCCCCTGCTTCCCTCTTGCAAGTTTTTTGGCTGTAGTCTCTTCTTTTTTCTGATTTTTCTTTGTCGACTTACCATTATTATTTTCCTTTCCCACATTATCGACAGTCAAAGCATCACTGTCTATGTCATCACCCGAGATATTAGAAGAATCCTTTACATCACCTTCTGAGTTTAAAAGATCAAATTATTAGGGGATATAAAAACTTGACCAACCGAAGAGGATTTTATTAGGAGATTGGTGGAGGAAGAGGAGGCCGCAGCATTGGGGGAGTTTAGGTTTGGGATACCCAGACTAAATTGATCTCCATTGACAGGTAAAATCCTACCAGGTTGCTCCTTGTCAATGTCGTCAATTTTAGATTTTAGTTTATTAGGGGAGGGTGAGTGAGGCTGATATTGAAGTGGTTGTCCTATGACAATGGGTGGAATGACTTGAAGGTTATTGGAGTGTTGAGGAGTTTGGGGATCTTGACTACAATTATTAGAAACAGGTAATTTCGCCACATAAACAGGGTTGGAGTTTGGTCTGCGAGGAGGCCTTCTGCTAGCACTTCTACCCCTATTGTTTTGTATTTCCGTGCCCTTAGCTATGTCCTGATGCTTGAAAGCATTCTCCGGATTTTTCAAGCATGAAGAAGAGTAATGCATTAAAGACTTACAGTGCTGACAAGGGAAGGGGCGCCATTCATATTGCACTTTCAATCTTACCACTTCCCCATCCAAAGAGACCTGAATCTCCTCCGGGTATGAAGCATTGCAGTCAACCAAGACACATATCCTGGCATACGTAAGTCTGGTTTTTTGCTCCGTCAAGCTGTCTGCAGCCACCGGAACACCTATTTTGCTAGCTATCCTCGATATACATTCGGAGTTCCAGCAAGCAAGGGGAAGGTCGTGGATATTCACCCAGATAGGAACTGTTGCAAAATCTTCTCTTTTAGGTACAAATTTCGGATGCCATTTTTGTAGTACAAATGGTTTTCCCAGTATAAACCATACACCTCGCGACTAAACCATTTCGTAATCTTCAGCACAAGAGAAGCGGAAGAGAAAAAAAACATCGTTTAGAGATAGAAGCTGAATAAAACCTTTTAAGACCCGCTTTGGGTTCGGGTCAACCCGACCTGACCCGCGTATGCCGGATGTCGGATGTGGAACTGTCGCGGAACTGCCGGCTGTCAAATGCGGAAATGCCGCGGTCCGTGGACATGGCGTGGACGCGAACCGTGATGTCCTCGGGACGTGATGCGAGGCAGGCAGGCAGCCTCGGGACGCAGCGGCCGAGAAGGCTGGCTCCGAGCAGGCGGGCAACCGGGAAGCGAGCAAGGTCACTCCGGGCATACCGGCAGACATTTGTGTGCATTCTGGGTCATTTCGGGTTGTTCCCGGGTCAACCCAAACCCGACCCGGTTTTTCAAACGGGTCGGTTTTCATAACCCGAACCCGACCCGCTTCGGGTTCGGGTCAACCCAAACCCAAAATTTTCGGGTCGGATTTTCGGGTTGGGTGCATTATTGACAGGTCTAATGTATATTGTTGCATGCTAAAAATTTTGATGCAATAATGAGCAAATTTTCAGATACAATTTCATCAAGAAGATAAATGTATACAAACTTTAGAAAAAAAAAAATTTCATCAAGAAGATCAAACACACATTCTCATAATAAAAAAAATTATATAGTCGTAGCTAAATTTTTTACATTAAAAACTCGAAATAATAAAAAAGCAATGATGTATGGCTTACAAAATTAGACAATCTTATATGTAAATACATTATACGAGTCTACTATTTGTCTAAAACAGAGAAGATGTGGTACAAAGTACTTAGTATAGGTTTAGGTTTTTTTGGAGATATGCGACACAACAATAGAGATCCAACACTTAGATGGTGTTAGTTGTACAATGATAATTTGACTATGGTGAACTGCTAAACGCATAGTATTTCCACAGTAATTAGTAGTGGCGCTTTGAAAAATGCTTATCTATAACTTATCGCTTCCTGCCCTAAGAGATATCAGCCTTACTTGACTAATGCCCTAATCGACTCGAAGCACAATGGAGATCCATTCCACGACCAATCTGCCACAGCCGAATCAACTACCATTGCCGTCGAATTTGCCTTCGCCGTCTATATTCATATGCTTGGGCTTCTACACTCCGAGCGCAATTTCGCGAGTATCCGCGATGGATTCGCTCATCCCGACTCCTCAATCGTTGGGGTTCGCAATCGTGCAATGATAATTGGATGATGGTGCATGGCTAGGCGACAACAATAGAGTGATTGTGGTCAATGATAGTTAGATAACAGTGAATTGATTATGATAATTCGATTATAATGGTAAAAAGATGACAGTCAAGCAATAGCGAATTGAATACAACAATTATAGTGGTCAAACGACAGTGGATAGCAGTGATCATTAGCATCGAACGACATATAAAGTTCTTTTTTTTTTTTTAAATCTCCAAACTTTATCTAAACAGCGGAGGCTGTTCATAATAGTTTTTATTGGCATTTTAGTAAATATGGCCAACATCTTATGACACTATCGTTGACTCGAATTGAATTATTTGGTCATAAATTATTCATTTTAGCATTTAAGTGCTAATAACCTTAGAATTGAGTGATCGTGAACTTATTAAATTTATCTGATAGAGCTACTCTTTGATTATAAGCATGAAAGAATTCAATATCATCAGATCCTTCAATCAATGCTTCGAAGTTTCCAACTTCACTTTAAGCGCTTTTGTGAGTAGTTTTGATTTTTTTTTTTTTTTAGATTTTATTCAAATTCAGATTACAATAATTGCAACACTTTTCATCGTGTTACCTTTAATATGCTATAGAATATAACATTCTAGTCATATTAATGTAAAGAGCATGATATTTTCATCGATATTATTTTGTTGTATGATAGCTCAGATATTTTAATGAATATAATGACAATAGTAGAAATTGCTAAAGAACAATAAAAACTCCTAAATGTAATTGTGATTATCGTGTATGAATAGTTTATGATTTGTAACTGTTTACATGAGGGTAAAAGTTTCTCATAGACTCTACTAGTCTATTGTATATGTGCATTTTTGAATGCTTTTGTAAACTGTTGGATATTGTTCATACATGTTAAAAGTATCGATATTATCACTCACTTACCTGAAAATATGTGAAAAAGAGAAGAAGAGAAAAATATATGTAAGTCATTACTAACGCTTTATGTGCAATCTATATATATACTTCTGTGATATAACGTGCATTGCTCATACATATTGCAAGTACTAATATTTCCATGTTCATATTAAAGTGCTAGCAATCTATGTTCATATTGAAAAAACTAATGTTTGTACAAGTTGAAAGAACTAATGTTTCCATGTGCACGTGTGATAAAGATGTGAAAAGAGGGAGGAGAAGATGTAGGTTGTTGGCACTGGATGTTATATATGCATTTAAGTGGAGTTATAAGGTTTTGTACAGTGCAATCTCTCTCTATCTCTCTCTCTCTCATACATATACATACATACATATACATACATATACATGCATACATATACATACATACATACATACATACATATACATACATACAATATTTTGATTAGAGGCATTACATAAGGTTCTTTGTGCAAATATTAAGAGCAAAATGATGAAACAATTTTGCATCTTCTTTTTACCGCCTCTTCTATTGTGTCGGGCAAAATAATTTATTCCCTTCTAAAAAATTTATTGAGCCTATTTTGTAACAAGTTTTGCTAGTTACTATTGTGTTAGTCATTTGAATGCCTTAAGGATATCAGAGTTTGATGATCTTGGGCCCGTTGGATTTGTCTCGTCGAGCCGGTCGATTCGACTATAACTATGTCACATTTGGAATTTGTTTGGTAATCAAAATTATGATTTGAACCTTCCAAAAGTGCTTTGAGTCTTTGATTTGGACCCATTCGGGCTCGAATTGAGTCGAATTTGGTGTCGTTTGGTGTGCCTTTTCAAGACGCTCAATTCGACTATAAGTTTGATGAAATCATAATTTGGATCCCATATTTAATTTCGGAAGCTTTCAACTCAATTTTGCCTCAAGATTAGTGTACGACAAGATAAATTTTTTTTGATGATATATCAATTCTCATAATATCTATGCAGTTATACCACAGAAACCATCTACTCTGACGCCTAAACCCTAAAATTATTTAAAATTTAATAGATTTCAATTTCTTTAACAGTCACCATCTCAAGGCAAATTATTACATCCGGTCACCGGACCTAGAAATAGGTCTGGATATCCACTATAAATTTGACTCGTGGAATGTATACATGTCCGCGGAATTTTAAGTCAAGCGCGTCAAAAGCGAGGGTAAAGCGCAGTGAAAGCGCAGGTAAAGCACAGATAAAATGCAGATAAAGCACAGTCAAAACGCACCCAAAGTGCAGTCAAAGCGCACCTAAAGCGAAAGTCAAAGCACGGTCCACGTGTCAATTTTTTAGTGGATGTCCGGACCTATTTTCTAGGTCCCGTGACCGCACATAATAATTTGCCACATCTCAGATCTTGTTCTAGGTGTGCCATGGGAAAACATTGTCATGAACAGACCAAGAAATATCCTACGATTCTTCCTTCTCATCGATACTGTTAAGTCCCCTCCCCACACTAAATTCATTAACTACGCTTCCAACTTTAACAGAACTGCAACCAGAGACCTTCTCCATTCCACAGATACTCATTAGCTTACGAATCCTGACTGCATCTTCCCACCTTCCTTCTCTTGAATACAAATTCGACAAAGACACATAGCACATGCTATCATTCGGATCTATCTCCATTAGATGCTTCGCTGCGTACTCTCCCATACTGATATTTCCAAGCCTAGCCGAGGCCTCAAGCAACGCCCCCACATTGGAACACTGAAGTCCACGCCTTTATTTGATTCAATGAGCTCTTTAGCTTCGTTTAATAGCCCTGCTCTGCAGAGGAGATCAACCATGCATCCTAAGTGCTACAAAGTGGGTTTGAATCCGTAGAAATCATTCATGAGGTTGAATAATTTGCGGCCCTCCTCAACCAATCCTGAATGCCGGCAAGCGCTCAAAACACTCAAGAAGGTGACGCTATCAGGGCTCGTGCTTGTTTCTAGCAACCTGGAAAAGAAGATTTGGGCTTCTTTGCCTCTCCCATGGATGGCGAGAATTGAGATTACAGAATTCCATAAGCAGATGTCTGTTTCTTGGATTTCGTTGAACACGTCGAGAGCTCTGTCCATACTCCCACATTTTGAGTACATGTCCAGAAGAGCGGTTCCTAGTACTGCATCAAGTTTAATGTAATGTTTTTTTTTTTTTTTTTTTTAATATAATCATGGATCCATTCTCCTTGCTTTAATGCAGGCTATGCAGCGATCCGCGAACAAGAGGTGAGAGCAGCGACTAGAGTGAAATTACTGGGTTTTATTTTTAATCGGAGAATGTCGTTGAAGAGATTCAGAACCTCTTCGAATCTGGAGCATTTCACGCAAAGATCAATAATCAATTTGAAGGTGGTGAGATTCTTCACATCAGGTGGCATCTGCTTGAATAAATCACGAGCCTCTTCAATCCGAGAAGCAACAGCATACCCGCCGATCACTATATTCCACGTGATTCCGTTCTACAAAGGGCGGATATCAAATAATTGTCTTGCAATCTCCAACAAACCATGTTTCGCATACTCATCAATCAAACAGCTCCAAGAAACCACATCTCTTTCAGGCATTTCATCAAATATCTCCCGCGCTTCTCCCACAAACCCCGCACCGCCATTCCAGCCAGGATGTTGTTCCACGAGACAACATCTCACTGGGACGTTTTGTCGAATACAAGCAAGGAAACTGACAGGGAGCCAAATCAAATATAGACATGGATCAATGCGCTTTGGGTGTATCGATCGGTTTGAAGGTCGCGCTTGATGATTTGGCCGTGGATCTGCCGTGCATCGAAGGAAGCGGAGATCGCAGAGCAGGCCTTGAGGATGGAGGGTGCAGAGAAGTAGCAGGGACTATTGCTGCAGGCGTGGACATCAGAACCTTTGAAGGCAATTGCCCGCCAACGCAATTCATTGTTTAGTAGAGATATTTTTTTAAAAGACATATAAGGCAAATTCACAAACACATTCTATATATAATATTTAAGCATAATTTTTTTAGTTGATAGTCAAAAAATCACAATCAATAGACTAAAAAGAGTAACGTAAATAAAGATTTTTCACCGATTGTGATTTTTTGTAAACTTTTGAGCAAAATAATCAAATGCGTACCTATAACATAGGTAAACTTGGAATTCATAATCTCTTAGTTGATAGTCAAAGCTCCCAACTAAGAGATCAAGACGAGTTGCATATATCGTGAAAAAACTATTTTTTTTTTCAATTGAATAACTAGGGGACACAATTCATATGCAAAGAGAAATATCATCTTAGTACTAATTAGTCAATAATTATTCAAGAGATGACGTTCATTTGCTCTTAAGTTGACCTTCTTCAACAATATCATACACACATTGTGTACTTAAGATTTTAATCCAAAACCCTTTGGTTAATGGCCAAAACTTCTAACTAGCAGATCAAGATGAGCTGCATCAATTTGGCAGATGAATATGGCCATTTGCATATCATAGTTATGATATGCCAACCTTAACAATTAACTAGGGAGTTTTTTTATTAGTATTCAACACTTAAAAGTATTTTCATGTCATCAAACTCTTCATTTTAGTATGTGATTATGTACACTAATTCATCCTACAATACTTAATAGGATATTAGGCGTGAATCATAAGCTAGTTGGTGACATGATATTAATTTGATTAAGTCATGCTCAATTTCTTTGGTGACCCCTATTTGTAATTGAGATATTTGCTTTGAACTATTTTTTATTATCAATAACATAACTCTACCCCATTAAGGCAATAATAAGCATACAATATGTATTGATTTAAAAGTTTATGCAATTTAAGAAATGATATTGCATATAAAAATATTAATAAAAGACCATAAGGTAAGATTTAAATGAATGCTAAATCATACTTTCAATATCGCTTTTTGTGCAACAAGAAAACTCTTAGGCTTCATTTGGGGTGGCTTTCTTACTGTAACATTTTACTAGAAAGTTGTTTTTGAAAACAATGAAAAAAGGTCCTAAACGAAGCCTTAGGGTCGGTTTTTTTTTTTTCTTCAAGAAAATGGCTAGTGATATATCATCAAAAGTTAACCATGATCATGCACGAATTCCGAGACAAAATTAAGTTAAAAACTTTTGAAGTTAAAATCGAGATCATTTGAACTCTGATTTTAGCAAATTTTTAGTCAAACCAAAACTTCTCGAAAAGACGAACCCAACAACACCAAATTCGACCCAATATGAGCCTGAATGGGTCCAAATAAAATACCCGAAGTGCATTTGGAAGGTTCAACCCATAAATTGGATGAATAAACAATTTCTAAATGTAACGTGCTTATAGTCGAATCAAGCAACTCAACGAAACAAATCCAACGAGTCCAATATCGCAAAATTCTAATATCATTAAGACACTTAAATACTTGATAAATAATCTATGATCAAGGGAGTCGATATCTACCATCCATTCAAAACTCTACCCCGTTCAGGCAATAATAAGCATACAATATATATTGATTTAAAAGTTTATGCAATTTATGAATTGATATTGCATATAAAAACATTAATAAAACACCATAAGGTAAGATTTAAATGAATGCTAAATCATACCTTCAATATCGCTTTTAGTTCAACAAGAAAACTCTTAGGCTTCATTTGGGGCAGCTTTCTTACTATAACTTTTTATTAGAAAGCTGTTTTTGAAAACAATGAAAAAAGGTTCTAAATGAAGCCTTAGGGTCGGATTTTTTTTTCAAGAAAATTGCTAGTGATATATCATAAAAAATTAACCATGACCAGGCACGAATTCCGAGACAAATTAAGTTGAAAACTTTTGAAGTTGAATTCCCGATCATTTAAATTCTGATTTTAGCAAACTTTTTGTAAAGACCATGTTTCCTCCCAGGTTCGTCCGGACGAAGTTCGATTATACGGGACGATCGGTACAGGTTGTGCAGGAAAACATTTATGGCTGCATGGTTCGTCTGGACGAAATTCGGGTCGTCTAGACGAAAATCGTCCAGAGCCCAAGTCGTCCGTGACGATAATTAATTTCGTCTGGACGAAATTCGTCCAGAGCCTAGATCGTCCAGGACGAAGTTACGATAGTCCGGTACGATCAGTCTTGATATATATGGAAATGAGATATTTTT